TTTTTTTGGCGGGAGAGTAAGGTTGAGGGGAGGTGCTAGGCTGCAAAACTTTTGGTTTTTTTTGAAAAAAAAGCAAATTTGGTTGTTATTTGCCACTTGAGCAGCCATATTCATTAAATTATAGGCCTAGTGCGCCGCTAAGTAGCTAGATAGGTACCTAATTGAGGCCTAGGTCCGAAAATCCAAACCTCTAAAAGAGTAAAATCATATTTTTGGTCTCCAAAACCATATTCCTAGATTCATCAAAGCAATGCCTTTTCAATGGTCTGGGTGCCAGTCTCAAACATTCAAATTGAGTGCCCCGACATTGACCCGAAAGGTGAAATTTGATTTTGCAGGGCAGGTCGGAACACGTACTCGGGTTTACCCACTGTAGATCCAATTGCGTATAAATTTTCCCTGTGGATCATGCTCTGATGAACTCGATGTGGGTAGTCTCATCAGAGTCCCACGCAGTCTGCTGTCGCTCCGACAGCCCGAAGCCTGCACCGCCGTGACACTGCCTCCCTAGCTGGCTGTCAAACTGACGTCTATAAAAGAAAAGAGACTCTCCAGGAATATTGCTGCTTTTGAACACCATCCATCCCTATCCATCCACTTCCTATTCATCATCATCATCATCATCTTATCATCCATTACCCACATCGATCAGTCAATATGTTGAAACTTCAGACATACCTTATTCTGGCTGTTGCCGCTATGTCTTGCACTGCTCAAGACTTAACTGCAACGCTAAAGTGTGGTTCACCCCCCCAGCCGATTGATGATAATGCTTGCAAAACGTCGGTTTCTCCTTTGACATCATCACACCCTATCCCAAGCAAATTCTCTCCCGTTAGCTTTAGCCACTAGACATTCATCACTGACGTTCTTCAACCCACCATCAGGGCTTTAAAACAGCTTGCACCGTATGTAAAAAATAACATCCTCGTTCGCGATGAATCGGCATTTCAAGTGTCTTGCGCAGGCTGTAAGGTAAGTATTTTTGAGGAAAATTCAATTAGATGATGTTCCACAACTGAAACGGCCTGACTTTTTCCTATCGCGTGTCTACCGTCAGCTTACTATTGGAACATCAAATGGTGGAAATCTGAATGTGTAAGTTATATTCCTCTCTGAAATCCCTAAACATCCAGTAAAAATTTAGCACGAGGTGATCCTGAAAAAGTCATGTATCAAACTTACATGCTTGTTGAAATACCTTTTCTCATCGTACAGTCTCTATGAAAAAGTTCAATTAGGGCTGAACAATCTCTTGGCGGCATGCCCACAAAAAGTAAGCTCAAAACTCTCGATAGTAATTCCACTTGATGATTTTTAATCAACATTTCCCCTTTGGCTATCAGGGTGCCTCTCTTGGCATGTCAGGTGGCTCGACCAACACCGACCCGAACACCGATACAGGTGCTACGTTGACTATCAGCTATCCTACTACAAATACAGATGGCTGTTCAATCATATAGGCGATTTAGTTGATTGGCACCCAAGAATTGAAGATTATACGGTTCTCTCTAGGTTATCTATTCCTTTCTTACAGTGCCCGACTGGACAATGACTGCTGTGTCGGGTGCCATTCATTGTTGTTTCTATGAGATTTCGTTGTTGCTGTACTGCTCTATTGACGATGTTTGTGGTTATTTCAATAAATCATTGGTAAAATCATAGCCTCACTACTTATCTCTATCCACTCTGACATTGTGTTCTTTTTACTTGAGAAAAACCAAAATTGCATTCCGTATCAACTTCAACCTTTCTGCAGATCACAGTCACTTCGAGTTGAGCTGAAGACTAAAGACAAAATATCCCTGTTGAAATACCCAAGCAGAAGACATAGGAAGGTATATAAGCCGTTGACCTCTGTTGACCAACTTCGATTCGTTCAACTTTAACTTCACTCTCATCACATCCAAAAAACGATGTCATCATCATCCCAATTTAACACCATCAACTTCTGCAGTGGCTCTTTCTACACAATCTAAACTTGGTTCATTGTCCGCTTGACATGATGAACCGAAATCCAAAAACGTTCAAACGAACAATTCGGAATTTCGCACGAGACTATTCTTACCTGATTTCCATCATCTCTATGGCCTCATTTCTATTGCGATTCAATGACATATCAGTCTATGCAATTGCTTACCTTCTTATTCATAGAATGGTGAACAACTTGGGAACCAATCATCTGATACGGTCTGTCGAGAAGTCAAGTCGCAGAACTCCTCTAGCACTGTGGGTGTTACAAATCAGAGTATTTGATGGTAGATCATGTGTGATTAATGTTATAAACCTTTGAATGGACATGCGCAGATTTGAGACATGGCTCGTGTAGCTCATGTATCATTTTGAAGTCTGTAAGGGGTTTGAATGCAAAAACCCAACTTTATTCTTTGTCAGAGGTTTACGAAGAGGTTCAATTGATCGCAGTCCGAAGCTGGATTAGTTCTTGTACAAGCTTGACTTGCACTCACATGGATTTGCCACCTCTCAAACTTCAAAAATTATCTACGAAAAAAACATCCAGCAACATGCGAAAACACATATCATTGATAACACTTGGGTTGACTCTCCGCCAGTCTTTCCTTGTAAGATGCGGACCAGAAGAATTGACCCATATAGATCAACGTTTCTCAACACCCGAAATGGTGAACAGCTTCAGTTTTGTACCAGAACATCCTTCACATGATGTAATCGGGACCGTCAATGAATCAAACTTACAAATTCCATCATCAGTCAAGATCACACCTTATGCAGCCTTCTTTCGTGAAAGTAAAGAGGTTATGGATAGGAGTACAAAGGAAGGAGTCAAAACATTGGCTAATCAAGTGATCTTGATGATCTCAAATTTAAGCCCAACCTCTGAATCTTGGGAAAGTTGGCTTCAACGTAATCAAGGCACAGTTGAGGAATTTATCAAAACGGCTTATACGGCTTTGTATTCTGATGAAGTTTGTGATGAAGAGGAAAGGACTTGGATTGTGGGAATCCTATCTGCGATTTCAAAGTATATGCCACCTGATCAGGATAAAATGACAGGAGAAGAAAAGATTGAAAGATTTCCTTGGGGTAATCAAGTGGCTCTAGAGATCAAAGCTACTAAAGGTTAGTTCTCGGGGAGAATCATTCCCTGTCAGTTGACTGATCTTTGAATTTATTGATTGTGTGTTCAGAATTTGAACCATTTATGACCAAACGATTTGAGTCACTCTGGTTAAGAAACGAACATATCTCAGCAAACGAGATTAGCAAAGGTAGGTGAAGCCTCTTTCGACTCGCTTGTTCATAGGCCCAGGCTATGGTCTTGAATTGACAATGACGTTTATATATATAGACTTGGATGAGCTCCTTCAAAGGGCCAACATGTTTGGTATTTATGACTTGATGAAGGAGGAAGAGATTCCCTGCAAAGTGAGCGCAATATATGAGTTAATCTCCAAACACCTCATGAAAAGCAAACTACCCGAGGAGGAGAATGAAATATCAGGCATTTTGAATGATATCAAAGATTTCTTCAAGAACACTGACCTTTTTGGCTGGGAAGGACAATATTGTGAACAGATTCTTCAACATATACTAAAACATTCACCTCAAACTCGCAAAATCTTTAGTGACCTTCTTCAAGATTATACGTTCTTCAGACAAGTTCATTTTCCTTTTGCAAAGAAAGACATGATTGAATATCTGAAACAAGAAACCGAGATGAAAGACTTGAACAACTATATAAAGGTCATCAAGGGTTGGAAGGAGGAAGTGACCTGCCAATTGCTCCCTTCAGAAGGGAGATTCCTTTTAGAGAGGTTTACCAAAAAGCTAAACTCTCAAGAACTAGATCGTCCTGACCATCATAAGTTTATAGCTGCATTCTATCTCATCTTTCCTTCTGAGGCGAAGTATCTTAGAGGCTGGATTGAGAAGGGATGGGTCTTCCACAAAATTGAGCTTGAAAACTTGAAGGGTATTTGGTCAAAAGTTTTCCCAGATGGTTTTATACCAGATGCTAACTTTGGTGAATATCAATGGATGTTTCTGGTCAAAAGTTAGTCACTTCAGCCTCATCACAATTCTGTAATGTGTACTAATTTGAATGTTGTTACAAAACAATCAGATCCCTCTTGTCTTGAAAGGGTGATGCTGTACCAGGCTGGAACCAAGATGAAGACTTCAACACAACCAGGGGTTTCAGAGCTTGGTGATATCCTTGAAAATGGGAAATTGACAAGTCTTTCAGCTTCTGACCACTACAAAAAAGTCATGAAGATTTTACAAGAGGTTGATGATATTACTTCAGCTAATGAGGTGTATAGATTGTGTCTTGAGTTCATCCGCCATATAGTAAGTCTTAAGAAGGAATACGCAACTGCTTTTTTACAAGAGATGGAATCTTCCAAAGAATTTAGAATAACTATCCAGAAAGCCATAAAAACCTTCAAAAAACCAAGAAAAGATTCAGATCCTACGGAAAGAAGTGTAGCAGTGACAACTTCAAACTTTTATACATTCCTTCAAAAAGTTGAAAATGTGAGTTCAAACATGTTCTTGACTACAAGAATCATCTACTGATAAATTCTTGTCAAAATGCATGACAGATTTTCACAATTCATCCACAACAAAAGATAAAACATGTAATGATGGAAAAGGTGGCAGCACAATTACAATATCAACCAAATGATTTCAACCTAATCATTGGGGGACAGCCTTTCAAATTCAAATTCAATGCAACTTGCTGATTCAATTCTACAAATCAGAAAGCTAAGAACTTCTTTTTTTGAGTCTGAAGCAATACAAGAGAGAAATTTACTGTTTCCTTCCAAAGTCTATACCCATTCTTTTCTTCAAAACCTACTTCTCCTCAGGAAACCTTACAGTATCCACATAGCTTGTTCATTATAGAGATGTGAAAATCACAGTTGTATGTCATTGCAGAATCAAAAGAAAAACCAAAGATGGAAACTTTGATGCTGTGGTGCACAATGCTTCTTTGGAGCTAGCTAGCTGGCGGGTCCTGAAATCCAAGCAAGCTGTGTGTTACAACCAGTAACCAGCTTTGGGGGTTGTGGCTTGGGGCCAGAGGGTGAGATGATGCTAAGCTATGTGGTATAACTATTGTAGCATGAAGAGGAAAGCAAGGTGGGCATGTGGTCTGGTACAAGGGTGGCTTGGCAGTCTGACTCCTACATGTTGAGGGTTGTGACAGCTCTGTGATCTGTAAATAGGATCATAACATTGTGAATGAGGACTTCACCTCCACAGGGGTTAATGAACTGCATTAAGTGTGGGGATATAAGACCATTGTTTGAATATCATCTTTAAAGATCTTGTGGGTGTCTGATCAACCTGAAAAAAAGTTGTATGTGCAGCTTAGGTGAAGTTAGTTCCTGTTTGGTGATGTGAAAGACACAGGGTGTTTGGTGTGGCTAGACCTGAAAATTGGTGTGCTACATCTCAACAGCTGTGATATAATTTTGAACAATGAAAAAGAAAGGTAAAAGTGGTTGTAATAATCATAGTACAACTTGGCTAAGTCTAGCACCTTCTGCAATTGATAGACCTCTTCAAGACCAAAGAAAAGCACTGATTTTTGGTCTTGGTGAAAGATATTTTTCAAATTTCCAGAAAAAAAATCTGGATACAAGACAGAACTTCATTTAACCTATACACCGTGCCTGTATCCTTGTAGCACATTGATATGCACACACCAAAGACTTTTGACACATACTTGAAAGAGCCTTTGAAGAGGTCTCCACAATAGGCACATCTTCCTTTTGTCAACTGGGATGTTGACACACAGCTGACCCCAACTGATGACAAAGGATCCCACAAATCCTTTGTTCAAAAGATCATTCACAAAGGGTACTCAACACCAATCTCACTCTAAAGCCTAGCAAAAGGTTCTCTGATTTTTTTGAAAACTCTCCGTGTGTGCATTTCAACCTGCTACAAGGATACCAACATGGTGATAATAGCCACATTTATTGTCTAAGCTCCAGGATCTTAAATAAAATTTCATACACAAAAACCAAACATAAAAACTGAATGACACTGAGAGCTGTATCAAAGAGCCATTCAACTCAACCTTGAGATAACTTAATCACATGACAGTTTGTAAGGGTACGTTTGGTTGCAATTACAAATTGTAAACTCCGTTTGACCCCAGGTACATTGTCCCGGGGCAAATGAGTTTATTGCTTAAATCAAGTTTCTTTCAGATAAACTCCGTTTTGGGTACATTTCGGGAAATGACGTTTGGTTACACAGGAAACAAGAGACAATTTTCCCACAGGAAGACCAATTACACATAATGTAGTTTCTGAGCCATAATGTACAAATAACACAGATATAACACCAAAATAATACATTTCGGCTCATTAACTGAGTCAGATACAATTGGTTTTCCCACGGGAAAATTCTCCCTTGTTTCCTGTGTTAAAGATCCCAACCAGACGTATGTACCTTGTAAAACTTCTTGAAAGGTTTCCCACCTCCTCTCACCCCACCCCACTTCACATTCTACAATCTCGCATCCACCCATATGTACATCCTTTGGCAATATCTGATCCAAGCAATGATCATGTGACATGACCTTTGTCCCCATTGACAAACTTTTGCTCGAACACACTTGTTTCCATTTCTCTCACAGTTATCCTTATAATGCATTGCCAATCAACAGGAATTCATAAATCACACAGAAAGCCAATTTAACTTTCTCAATGGAGGACTTAAAGAGAAAAACTCAGAGAAAACCTATTTGGAACAAACGAAGAAGGGATATGTAGATCTAAAAAAATTGTGAATGAGATAAGCAATTAGATCCAAACAAACAAAAAGACACCATGAGACAGACTTGTCAAAAGTGTCCAGCAGTGTGGATTGTTTGTGACTAAAAGAAGCAAAGAAATCAATTGTGCTGATTTGTAGGTGAGAAGAAGAAAGTACTTTGTGTATGACTACAAGTTCGGGTTACTGTAGGAGTTTTTCTTCTGTTATTCTTCTGTTGTTTGAACCACCATAGAAACTGTGGTAGTTTGGATCGATTGACCTTCAGAGTACATGGTGCTTATGTGAAGTCAAATTGCTTGGAAGTTTTTTTTGCTGAAGAGGTTGATTTGGAAAGTTGTTTGATGAGAGATAGCATATCGTTAAAGAAGTAAATACATATTGGGTCAATTAGTAGGACAGTTGAAGTCTTTTGAGTCGAAATTTTGAGTACCAAAAGGAGTTTATCACGAGGTTAAACTCCCTTTTGGTGTTTATCCAAAGGGCCCTTATAAACTCCTTTTGGTACGGGGAAGGAGTTTATTTCTGGGTACCATAAATGGTCCCAAACATATCTTTTTAACAGCAATTATTTTGCAAAATAATCACTATTATTCAAAATAATTGCCAAAAATAAACGCTACCAAATGTACCCTAAGCAACTGCAGCACTCAAGGTTTAAAATTCAAACATTCAAAAGCCAATCTTTGCGGAAAAAATGTGGTGAGTGGTGGTTGGCCAATCATCAAACATCAGCCAATGGTTGTGAGTCCATTGGGTATATTTTTGTTTGATAAATCATCAAATGTTTCACCCATCCAGAGTGGTTGGTCTTGGAACAATGATTGGTTCAGCCAATTTTGGACTAGCAGCGCTCCGGGAAGCTGAAGCGGAGCGGAAGCACGTTCCGCTCCAGGGTTTCCCAGCTGTAGCTGGTCAGAACTGCACTGCAAGATATGGCCAGGGCCTCTTTTTATTTCACACTGCGCTCCAGCTCCATTGTCTGGATGAGCATAACAGCGAGCTATGTTGTGGGTGAAAAGTTTGCTGTGTAGTGTTTCAGCGGGAAAACTGACCTACGGGGCCAGGCTACTAATACATGACCCTAATAGGCAAACCCCACCACCCAAATTGGATAACTTCACCCCAATCAATCCAATCATGGCAAACAATTCCCCTCCCTCATCATCACCACACACCATTTCTCACCCCTTGCAACCAGGCTCTATGGATGACATTAGCATAAATGGTAAGTATTTTTATCTAATGTCATTGATAACTCCAAATGTTTATTTCAACCCTATCTGACCAAAATCTCAATCAATCTCTTCTTTTCTAACTATTTTTTTCCCTTCTTTCTTACTTTTATCGTTCCTCCTCTATTAATTTCAGGAGTTCCCTTTGATCTAGACTTCATCTACCATCCACATCCCATACCATATATCTATTCCAACTATCTTGATACTTTATCTCCTGATACACCTCAAAAGATGCCTATTCAATCTCGACTATCATCCTTCAGTCCTTCCAACACTCCATCATCAGCCACTCAGCCCCAACGTACAGGTAAACAACCCTCCAACCCAAGTATGGTTTTGCCATGCCCTGATGGCAGACAGTGAGTCTCTTTGGATTTGATTTAACCCGCTTCAAAACGTAAAGAACCCTCCCAACCATCTTCAACTGTGATCGATTTGGATTCTGAGTCTGCTACATGTGATTCCGAAGATAATGTTGCTTTGAAGAAGGGCAAGAAGAGAAAACCAACAAAGAAGAAGTCAGTTTCTAAGAAGCGCAGAACCAATAAGGATAGCAATGAGGTATCTACTCCTAATCTTTTCTTTTGATTTCAACTTCCTAATCTTTTCTTTTGATTTTAACTTCCTAATCCTCCTAATCTTTTCTTTTGATTTCAACTTCCTAATCTTTTCTTTTGATTTTAACTTCCTAATCTTTGTAAATGTCTAAGAAGGCGGTTGACCTGATAACAGCAGTGCGTACGTGAGCACTCTTCTCCAAACCAAAGGTATGCAGACCTTGGTACTAACCTAGTTAATGGAGGAAATTGTTAAAGTGAGAAATGAAAAGGGTTTAATGAGCAATGTGCTCAAATAGTGATCTAAGCGGATTTCTCTTTCCGAAAGATAGAATTGTATTTCTTAGCTAACCTGATAACAGCAGTGCGTACGTGAGCACTCTTCTCCAAACCAAAGGTATGCAGACCTTGGTACTAACCTAACAAGATAAATAAGAAGAAAAAGAAATGAAAAGTGAATAACACGTTTGTAGTTAGGTATAAGTGAAAAAGGAAAAGATTCAAGAGATAGGTACCTAGTTAATGGAGGAAATTGTTAAAGTGAGAAATGAAAAGGGTTTAATGAGCAATGTGCTCGAATAGTGATCTAAGCGGATTCTAGTGGTGTTATAACGTTAGTAATTCTACGTAATGTGAAAGGTATGAAATGACTCACTCTCTTTCCGAAAGATGGGAAAGAGAGAAAAAGAGAAAAGGGGCAAACAAAAACAACAGCACATATATCAATAACAATGAGAAGGAAATTCATTGGGATTGATGTACATCTTAGTCAAGTTGGGGTGATCTCATAATATCCAATCACAGACGAGAAAAAGTGAGAACGAAACATATCCAAAACAACACTTGTCACAACTACATTAACAAAAACTGCATTCACCTCTACCTTGTCTTGATTGTATTTCGACACACCCCCTCAATCAAGACACGCTAAGCACACCTCTTTAAACCAACTCCTTTCATATGATTCCAGAACGGCCCCGGATGGAGTGGCTTTGTAAGCAAGTCCGCTGTCATGTCTTCGGATTTGCAATAAGATAAGGTAATGTTGTCCTTCTGCACTTGCTCCCGAATCCAATGGTGTTCTATGTCAATATGTTTTGTACGACCGTGGTGTACTGCGTTGGAAGAGAGATCAATAGCTCCTAGGTTGTCGCAGTTCAAATTTACCGGTCCTGACCATTCAAAACCTACATCTCTAAGCAAGTTTCGTAACCAAAGAACTTCCTGACCAGCCTCAGTTGTTGCGCGATATTCAGCTTCGGTTGAGGACAATGCGACTGTTTGTTGTAGCCTTGACCGCCAAGAAATTGCGCCACCGCAGAGGGTTGTGAGATACCCGGTGGTTGAGCGTCGAGAGTTTTTGCAACCGGCCCAATCAGAATCGACATTTGTAGATGGTACGTTCCATGAAGATTTCATTTGAAACAGTCGATTGTCTTCAACGTGGTAGTGTATGCCTAAGTTGATGGTACCTCTTAGATATCGGAGGACATGACGGAAAGCGTCCCAATGGCGTTGGCACGGATTGTCTAGATGCTGTGACAGAACACCTACGGCGTAGGCAATGTCTGGACGCGTACATTGCGAAATGTACATGAGACTTCCGACACCCGACCGGTAAGGGTAGTTGAGTTTTGCAAAAGCAGTTGATTCCTCAACTGTAGATTTGAGTAGCTTTTGTCCACCTTGAACTGGGGTAGACGCCGGTTTGCAGTCAGACAGGCCAAATCGTAACAACAGAGATTCGGTCATTGACCGTTGATGTATAGCATAATGATGAGACGATAAGCGCAGAGTTTCAATGCCCACAACACACGATACTTCACCTAAGTCGTCCATCTCCCAAAAGGTCATAATTTCCTTTTTAAAACTGATGATGCACTCCAAAGGTCCGGTGATTGCCATATCATCGACGTGCAGATAGAAAATGACCACCTCCGATGTAGACCTTCTTCTGATATACACACACTCGTCGCCTTCAGCTTGAGTAAAACCTGCCTTGATCAATTTCAGTTTAAACTCTTCGTTCCACTCATGAGCGGACTGCTTTAAGCCATAAATCGCTTGCAGTAAGAGACAGACTTTTCCTTCATCTCCTTCGTTAACATAACCCTCGGGTTGTTCCATGTATACAAGTTCTTTCAAAGCAGAGTTAAGAAAAGCGGCTATGGCGTCCATTCCGTGGACTGACCATCCATTACAGGAAGCGATGCAGATGATGATGCGGTATGATGCTGGTTTTCCAGTTGGGGCGTAAGTTTGATTGTAATCCACTCCAAAGGTTTGCGTGAAGCCTTTTGCAACAATCCGGGCCTTATATTTGATTATTGAGCCATCTGGATTAAGTTTGACCTTGAAATGCCAACGCGAACCAACCACCGGTGCATCCAGCGGCCGGGCCACTAACTTCCACACCCCTTTATGATTCATGTTGTCGATTTCTTTATCGCAAGCGTTTTTCCAATTGTGCGCATTAGGATGCTTCATTGCCTGCTTATAACTACCTGGCTCAGCCACCAATCGAACAGTAGGTCCTGCAGCAAACGCGTAAGCGCATATGTCACCCTGCTCTATGAAACAGTCCGTTTCCCAAAACGTCATGCTGGAGTTAGGAACGAAACGATCGACTGGTCTGATTTCTCTTTCAGACCGACGCGGCATTTGTTGTGGCGGGCTTGATGGCAAGGGTGGAATGTCTACAGGAGGTTCTGGCGTTGCTTGTTCTTGAACGGTGACCACATGCTGAACAGGATCATCATCATCGGGCGGCGGAGGAGCAGGATTGATTGCCAACGGAGGGATGTTTACAGCTTCATCTTCAGTTGTCAAGTGAGAGATGTCAAACTTAGGAAGTTGAGTAAAAGGGTATACGTCTTCTCGAAAAGTTGCATCGTGGGTGATGTTGATCTTTGCATCTTTTAACATGAAAACCTTATAGTTACGGTTGTGTTCGGTATGACCTACCAAGACGCCATGTTCAGAAGTGGCTGCATACTTATTGATGCAGTCTGGTTTCCTGATGAGGACGTAGGTCAGACAACCAAATGCCTTTACGTGGGAGACATCTGGCTTTTGGCCGTACCAAATTTCGTACGGGGTCTTGTTCTTCGGTAGGGTTGTTGTTGTTGTTCGGTTGTTGACAAAGACTGCATTCTTTGCCGCTTCCAACCAGAGTCGAATAGGCAAATTAGCCTGAATGAGCATAGACCTAGCTTTAGACACTATTGTACGCATAGATCGCTCCGCAACTCCATTTTCTTCCGGAGTGTACGCGGCAGTGATTCGGAGATAGATGCCTTCCGATCTGCAATATGGCAGAAGGACATTGTTGAGAAACTCTCCTCCTCCATCAAGGGTTAAGGACTTGATTTTTCGATCACACTGGCGTTCGACCAAAGAAAGGTACGTATGAATAGCTCCATGAACTTCATCCTTCTCTTTTGACTTCAAGCCAGTAATATGATGGTAAGAACTGTGATCATCGGTGAACAAGATGAAATAAAGGCTTTTGCATATGGCAGGGGTTCGCATAATGCCACTTAAGTCAATGTGCACATTATCTAACAGATGCAAGGATCTAGTGCGAGTGTAAGAATGAGGTTGTCGATGAGCTTTCGAAAGATCGCATGAATTGCATGGTAATTCAAGAGGTAATACAACTTTTGATAAGGACAATGGTAAACCCAAAACAGCTTCTCCCCTAATCATTTGCTTTAAATAAGTAAAGTTCGGGTGACCTAGTTTGTGATGTAAAAGTTGCAAAGATTCAGTTGTGGTGTCGGTAATTGCCGAAGAACTTGGAGATGTACGCACGGCATTGAGTTGTAATAGCATTGAAGTTGGATGAACACGTCCGGTTAAGGCAATTTTTCCATGACGTTCGATAATGAAAGAACTGTTGTCCTTCAGAGTGGTGATCCATCTGTCATGTAATAGTCTTCCACCCGCGATTAGGTTTTGTTTGAGTGTGGGGACAAAAAGGCAATCGGTGAGAGTTGTCAAGTCACCCGTAGGACCCATGATAGTCACGTTGCCTTGGCCTTTAATCTTGAGCGTAGACGTTCCTCCTGCCAATCCTACCCGTTCATTTGAGGTATCAAGTAGTTTGAAGTGGTTCAAATCGAAGAATTTTTGAGACTTGAACATATGGTGAGTAGTTCCACTGTCAACAATACCAAAATGATCGTTGTCAATATTCGCATCAGGATCAACTATGAACACTGCGCTAGCACTAGCTTGGAATTCAGATCTTTCCAAAGCTTCTTGGAGAGAAGACAAAGATGGTACAGCAGAATCGGTCGTTATTAAGGAGGTTGATGGTGAAGTGGATGAAATTTGCTTTGAGTTAGGCTTTGGAGGACGATCGATCCATTCACCTTTAGCTTTCTTGGCTTCAACCCATGCATTGTACTTATCGATGTTCTTTGGATTTCTTAAGCAATCGGCCGAGGTGTGCGACATCGATACGCATTTGGCTGGTGAACATCTAGTTTGAACAAAATTTTGACGCCTTCTCATTGGACTTGCTGCACTTGCCTCGATGACGGTAGTTCGTTGAGGTCGAAGCATAGCTCGGTTTGCAATTCGGACTTTCAACGCCGTTACAACTGAATGGTATTCAAAAGTGTCGCTGTCGGCTATGTCCTCAGCTACTTTCATCCAATCAGCATTCAATGACATGAGTAATTGCTGTCCTAGTTCCACTGATCCTATCTTTCCTCCTGAGTTCATATAAGCGATATATGCCTTGTGAAACTCGTCCATATGAAGAGGAAGGGAACTTTCTCCTTGGATAAGATTGAAAAGGGATCGGCAAAGGAGCATTTGGTGAGCAGATGTTCGTGGAGAGTGGTGATCTCTTATCTTTACCCATAGAGCGCTTGGAGTAGGAGAAACATCAGGACCGAGTTCAGTTTTGACTGTCATCATTGGTTCGAATCGATTTTTATTTGTCTGATCCATTTTAGAGATCATCCAAGTCATTAGGCATTCACGGACTACTTCGTTATATAGTCTGATGTCTTCGTCAATACCATTTTCATCTTTATCCGATAAGAGGAAAGGATGAAAACGTAGAGACTTGATGCCATTTCTAATATCGGTTGACCAAGTTAGGTAGTTTGTGTCGTTCAAGATATCAGAGATAACTATCTTGGACAGCGTATTGACAACCGAAGCCGCTATTTGATGGTCCTTACCACCAAATAGATTAGATGGAGTGGTGGTTGTGATGGTGGTAGTTGGTGGGATTGAGGAGGTCATGTCTGGAAATAGACTTTCGAGTAGAAAAGTTTCTTCTCCAACAGAACCAATTTCAGAAGCTGATTGGTAGGCTTCGTCGTTTGGTAAAGCAGATGACGATGATGAGTTACTGGGAGATTGAGTGTTCAATAATTGATCGCTGGGTAGATTGTCTTCTTCGTTCATTCAATTGATTTGTTTTGATCGAAACTAGACTCTCTCGCTACCATGTAAATGTCTAAGAAGACGGTTGACCTGATAACAGCAGTGTGTACGTGAGCACTCTTCTCCAAACCAAAGGTATGCAGACCTTGGTACTAACCTAGTTAATGGAGGAAATTGTTAAAGTGAGAAATGAAAAGGGTTTAATGAGCAATGTGCTCAAATAGTGATCTAAGCGAAATTGTTAAAGTGAGAAATGAAAAGGGTTTAATGAGCAATGTGCTCGAATAGTGATCTAAGCGGATTTCTCTTTCCGAAAGATAGAATTGTATTTCTTAGCTAACCTGATAACAGCAGTGCGTACGTGAGCACTCTTCTCCAAACCAAAGGTATGCAGACCTTGGTACTAACCTAACAAGATAAATAAGAAGAAAAAGAAATGAAAAGTGAATAACACGTTTGTAGTTAGGTATAAGTGAAAAAGGAAAATATTCAAGAGATAGGTACCTAGTTGATGGAGGAAATTGTTAAAGTGAGAAATGAAAAGGGTTTAATGAGCAATGTGCTCGAATAGTGATCTAAGCGGATTCTAGTGGTGTTATAACGTTAGTAATTCTACGTAATGTGAAAGGTATGAAATGACTCACTCTCTTTCCGAAAGATGGGAAAGAGAGAAAAAGAGAAAAGGGGCAAACAAAAACAACAGCACATATATCAATAACAATGAGAAGGAAATTCATTGGGATTGATGTACATCTTAGTCAAGTTGGGGTGATCTCATAATATCCAATCACAGACGAGAAAAAGTGAGAACGAAACATATCCAAAACAACACTTGTCACAACTACATTAGCAAAAACTGCATTCACCTCTACCTTGTCTTGATTGTATTTCGACAATCTTTTCTTTTGATTTTGACTTTCAATCAATATGACTTTTACTTTTACTTTTCTATTCATGTAGACAACGTGTACTGGCTCATCATTTGTCAATCAAAAGACATTGCAAGCCGACTCAGAGGAAGAGAACAATAAAGTCCAGCCACGAGGTGGCCGCTGAGGTAATGTTGAATCACAAGTAGATTCACTGCTAGCATGTTATGGCAAGCCTTTTCACCGGGTTCAGACTGAAAACCAGAAGGGTGATGTAAAGCATAATTCCATTACTTTGTTTCACATCCAAAAAATAAAACTAACATTGATGTTTTCCCTTCCTGAACTTTAGGATGTTACTAAAGCTCCACTTAGTTATCCATGCAGCTGGTGTGCGGATGACCCCAAGAAACCAATCATAGTCTGTGTTAGTCTCAGTAATCTAACCACCAAGCTGAAGACTCATCGCGATGGTCAAACTCAGGATGGCTGGTCACAGAGTGGATGTCCAGGTCGAGACCAAGCGTGCGCAGGGCTGTGACCCGGCCTTGAAGGTTCAGGGCCGGCCCCGGGGTTTTGCCCGACCCTGAGTAGACCCGAAGGCCTCCAGAAAGTGCTCAGGGCCAACCAGGGCACACCCTGACCTCATTATAGGTGCTAAAACCAGCCAATACATTGATTATTTTGTTTTTTATTGCAAGTTTATGTGTGTGTGATGGTTTGTAGAAGCTATATGAGCCCACATCAAAATTCAAAAGAGCTGCAGGAGGAATTTTAGAAAGACAGATTTTGTCAACACAGCAAAAGTACAGCGGGCCTTGAGCGGCCCAGCCCCGCCTGAGGCGCCCGCAGGGCTTTTGTGACCTCAATCACGTCACCGCCAACATTTTTGATTCGCATGTGTATATGCCAGTACACATAGCCTCTATACCGGCGATGGAAAATCACATTTTTCCAAGGCGTTATGATGATCATGTGATTTTATATTGCACATTGACAAAGCAACTAAATTTGTCTTGTGATTTCAAGTTGCGGGGTTGAAAGCGATAAAAATGAGTTGCGATGATGAATCACAAGGTAAGCTCAGCGATTCAAGCCCAATGCGATTAAACATCGCTCATGTGGCGACGCGATGCAAAGCCCTGAGCGATTCAATTGTTTGAATCACATCACCATTGAGCAATACAAAAATTTGCTCGTTTTGATGAGACACGATACATTCCTTTAAATCACATCATTGTGAGCGATAGAAATGTAGATCAGAGTTGCTTCTTCTTTGAATTTGATGGGCTTGTTTAAAACGTTTATTTATGGACAACTTGAATGCTCATATAGAAATTGATGGATGAAAACAAATCTGATCAATCATGATTTACATACTTCTTTTGTTAGAGTAAGAACGAGTGCAGACAAGGCCAAGGAGCAATTCTCATCATTTTGGGAACAAAATGAGAAAAGAAAACCAAGATTCACTTTATGTAGGTGATATCATATGATTCAATTAATCGATTGTGAGTGAGATTGTTATGAATCACTTCAAAAAGTTGAGAAGATAATGGTGTAGGGTGCATGAATTTGAAAATAAACCGGGTATCAATTGATGTTGTGCTTGAATAACTTGAGAATATCAATCAACTTCGTAAATTTGAAAGGACTCCCGTGTATGGGCCCCAGGTGGCTGACCACCTCTAGTGCCCCAAATTGGAACAAAGGGGTACCAAAAGCTGGGACTTCAGCCAGTCAGCTGTGAAGTTGATGTATTGATGAAACTGAGGTTGAAAGTATCTTGAAAGTTAACATACCAACCAAATCTTCAGATTGCCAGTGCACTCAAACACCACCACCGCAGTCAGTACATAAACAACACTAAAGGACAACAACCCCCATCAGCAGCAGCAGCAGCAGCAGGAACCACATCGGTTCTTGAAAGCAAATATGTCAAATAACTCATGTATCACCAAATTTCCTACTTCACATTCTGGAGCACGCTCTCAAAGATCTCGAACTACTACCAACAATCAACCAAATCGACCTAGGCCTCCAATCAGGATGCAATCAACTTAACTTGCATCAACTTCAACTAGTAGCGGAGGAGGCGGTAGTGGTCTTTTACTCAGGCTAATTCAATCCGAATACTTCAACGTTTATTTGGCTATTTGTTAGTTAGGATATTTTACTTGCAATTTTATCATATCATGATTGAAAAGATGGCCTGATGAGCTTTTATTTGAACATCAATTTCATTTCTTATGATCTAGCCTCAAGAATTACCCCAAGTCAATTGGTATAACTTATCATCTTATCGACAGGCTAAATAAATTTCCAGAGAAGGGTATCAAGTTTTATTGGCTTCAGATTTGGTAGCTATCATCATAATTGGACTCAATAAATGATGATTTAAGTCTGACCTATGAATTCTTTCATCATGATCATTAGTCATCTTTTGATGAGCCATCCGACTCAGAGCTTTGCATTGGAGAGCTTCTTAATCAAAAAATGCCACGATTCAACTGATTTGGTGATAAAGGTAAAGCTTACTTTAACCTTTAAATGGCTTTTAGTCGAGCAAAAGGATTCAATCATTGATGTCATATCTTTTCAATAGACTTTATGGTATCTTCAATCGTCCCTTTCAGACCTCTCAGCTGCTCCAAACACTTGATCATTTGCAATATGTCATCGCGCGTTTCACAAAGTTGAATCTATCAATTTGTCCAACCCTTTACTCAAGCTTCTCACTCATCAACGACAAGAAGACCTGCGGATCATAAGCATACGGACAGGTAAATCCAATACAATGATCAACATTTACAGCACCTCTGAAAAGAGTGATCATGGTTATCAATCACCCTCGTCTTCCATTCATAATTCAGGAACATCCCCGATTGACTACACGCCGGGAGCTCCCTCAACACACACACCTATGACTCTGTCAATCTCAATCTCAAGCTCTTCAGCTGGCACACCTTTATCAGTCGCATTGTCATCAGACTCACAAACAAATCCGTTGTCCCCGTCTCGTTCTTCTGGATCCTTTGCTCAAGAAGCCTCGGAACCCGTACCTCCTCTTTCAGAGCCATCCGTCCTCATCGCGCCCCCGGCAAAGGACTTTTCCCTGGGACAAGCAAGTTGAGATTGATTGAAGATGTAATACATGATGAATTGAACTTCGGACCTAGTCGGCCTAACCTCCAGATGAATGGAGATCGACTGCAGCCCCATGCCCTACACCCCACTTCTCTTCTTGTACTCGCATTCCACTCGCCTCCTCACAATCGGTTCCATCCTTGCCTAATGCCTTAGCAAAGTCAAAGTCAGATATTCCATTCGGAACCGATCAACACAACTTTCATCACATCAATCAACCCAATCCAGACGCACAAAATTAGAATACTCTTATCTCTTCCCTAGTGATCAACCCAAGCTCGATTCCTTCCGATGTATTGGATCAGGTTTTGAAATCGCAATCCATGAGATCTCAACTAGACTTGATCACTAGTCTCTAAAGTGTTAAAGGTCAATGAAACCTGTGCTTTTGAAGTTGATATACACACATCAAAGAGTGTTAACAAAGTTGTAGGGAATGTTTTGATCTACTCTGATAATGGTTTTTGCTTCTAAACAGATGCATTCAAATTGCAACAGGTCTGATTTTAAGTCCCAACAAGGAACCAACAAATTGAGACTTTGATAAAAAAACAAGACATTCATCATGATATCAAAGTTCTAATGAGTAGTGTACCATGCATAAGTTGTGATAAAAATGATGACATTTGAGAACTGATAGACTTGCAAGACAAGGATCAAGAAAGACAACTACAGTAAATGCTTGTCAAATCATATTTTTCACCATCAACACCCCTAAGCAATTCTTCTTCCTCTGCAAGATCAACATCCCTTTTTTGCTTGTTATTCTTAGCAAATTTGTATTTGAAGACAAAGTTTGGGATAGGCACAAGATACATGGGGTGGGTGACAAGGTAATATTGAATTGTTGAACTTGTTCTTCAGTGTGACCAGAAACTTGATCAGTCTTCCAGAGCTTGTATGTGAACTAGAATGGTTTGTATTATCAGCTGAGGCCTTCTTCTGAAATTTAAGCTACACCATTTGGAGATCTCCAACTTTCTTGAGGCTAGTCTGTGGCTTTACCTGAGAACAAAAGTTGTATCAGCCACTGCACAGGGAGAAATTGACCATGTACATCCATATGATCTGGCACAAGGTAAGCTTTGATTTTTTCAACTGTACTGGCTCTGACATTTTGAGCTCCTAACACAAATGTTCTAAGAAGTCTTTCAATTCATCACATATTGTAACACAGTAGTGTTTGTGATTTGAAGCAGCAGCACGCCAACTGGATAGAAACTATGTATATAGGTAGAGAGGCCTGTACTGGTACATAGAGGTTCAAAAAGAATAGGATCAACTCTGAGGAGTTTTGTATAAAATACATATGTCAACAATATTCATTTCACTCTTGTGTCCAACATCATCTACAATTATAAATCTGAGGAGCAAATTTTCAAATGGGAGAGACATGTGGAGTTATATGTATTTGTCTGCACATGTCATATATTTCATATGATGATATCATTACAAAGTGATAATTTTAGCAGAAAGATTGCACCCACCATGAAGACTTCTTTGGGAAATTGTAATATACATCAAACATCCTGCCATATGCATAGCACAAGAAAATTGTGCTGGACAATGAAGACATGCATGATTATAAATATCTCCATACAGTTCATAAGGTTTATGTTATGTTACATTCTTAGAGTGAGAATCATGGTGGAAAATACAAGCCCATACTCAAGTATTTTCCATAAGATTTGAGAAAATTATTAAAGATCACATCTTTGTGGGTCCAAATGGGGAAAATATGAAGAACAGGAGAGACAGATGTGTTTATGAATCTTCTGACACATGCCATAGGCTTCAAGAAGTTCTTGTGATGATAGATTAAGAAACACCTAAGGCAGCAGAAAAAATGAGCTCATATGGAAGCATGATCTTGGACCATGTACAAGTAAAAGAGTTACCAAAAATTTCATCCATTTTACTCAAGACAAGCACATCTTGTGCTGTCACTCCTTTGAGTAAAATGGATGAGATTTTTAACAAATTTTTCAATTCTTGGCAATTATGCTGAAGAAGGGGGTCATTTCTTCCATTAGTGGCGGGGATTCCTGAATGTTTTATCAAAAGAAGCCTGTGGCATATGTGAGAAATTGTATAAATACATACATGTCTGTGCTGTTTTCAGTACAATTTCAGCACTTTGCTACTGACATAGAAAAGTCCTGAGGCAACAGGAAGAGAGCTAAAAATCTGAAAAAATATGCACCTTGTTCCTAGATGTTGGGGCGTCATGATGAGTATTTTTTTGTATTTTACACGCAGATATTGGTTTATGTACTAACAATAAACACTGAAAATCATCAAAAACTCACATGTAACAATACCTGAAATTTGGGTCATGAGTATGAAGACAATATTTTGTGGTCTAAAAACTTCAGTAACTTTTGCAATTCTGCTCCAAATAACTCGATTTTTGGTTCATTAAAAAGCTGAACTATTCTCCTTCACCTTCATAATGTTAGTAAGGTGCTATCTAGTCATTTAAACACTCTACATATGTTCAAACAGTTCTGCATGAATAGCTCTGTAGGATCCTTTTTAGACCAGCTACAGATGTGATGTCTCAATGAAAAATGTAGAGGAAAGGCTCACCTTTTTAATGCACTTCAAATCGAGTGATTTGATTCAGAACTGCAGAAGTTATTGATGTTTGAAGATTCCAAAATCCTGTCTTCAAAGTCAAGGGCCAAATTTCAGGTATTGTTACAGGTGGGTTTTTGATGATTCTCAGCCTTTATTGTTAGTACATTAACCAATATCTGTGTGTAAAATACAAAAAAATACTTGTCATGACGCCCCAACATCTAGGAACAAGGTGCATATTTTTTCAGAGTTTTAGCTCTCTTCCTGTTGCCTCAGGACTTTTCTATGTCAGTAGTTTTCTTTACCGCCCGGTAAAGATGACATTTTGTGTAGTGATACATGTCTGTGCTGTTTTCAGTACAATTTCAGCACTTTGCTATGCATAAGACAAGATTATTGATACCTTTTACACTTGTTGTTGAGGATCATTCACGGTGAGCTCTTTCCACCAGGATTAGGCCTTTCTGATGGTACCAGAACATTTAACCTATGACCTATGTGGATATATGTAGAGACAAATTTGGTTCTCTGTTCAGTGCATCTGCCTCTCAGGCTTCAAATTTTGTATGATGGTGGATACAAGAGATTGATGGATCTGATGAACATGTACATTGGTTACGCAAGCTTCTTCAAGTGATCACATAAATCTACATTCATCTGGATCCAAGCAAAGGTTTATTGTTACCTAAGTATAGGTATTTTCACAACCTAGGACATTGCTGCTTCAAATTACAAATTACACTTAACTATATATGATCAATCAACACATTTAAAAAACCTGTTAATTTATAGCTCAAGATCTTAGTGCCACAAATGTCACTTCTCCAAATTATCCAGTTTACACCAAGATGTTGAACTGGAGTAGCAATTGTGCAATGTTTTTTTGAGGTCATTTTTTCATTGCATCAGGAAAGGAGCTTGGTTCTTTTGCAATTCATGAGTGTTGTTTTTTCTCATATTTAAAATTCACAACTTAGAACACACAAAACCCCAATCACTCTACAAAATACAGTGCTTCATTGAAATATTCCTTTTGCATATCAATCCCTGTATCAATTGGTAACTCATCAACATCCCCATCAGTATTCACAGCACCATCATCAAGTGATGAAATAAATTAAAACAATATATCATCTTCTTGAGCTCCCATGTGAATATCCACCAAAGACTGTAACACCCGGGTTCAATGAAATTACATACTTTTATATACATTGGTTGGATCTTGAGGATTTGATTTCTCCAGTTGGATTTCAGCTCACAATTTCTGTATGGGGGTGGTGGTTTTAAAAACCTCTCCCAACCCCCACATTCCAATCTGATACATGTACTAGCTCTGT